AAAAGAGTTTGTGTTTAAAAGCTTCTGTGTGTAAAAGCTTCTGTGTAAAAGCGTCTGTGTGTGTAAAGGAGTCTGTGTGTAAAAGCGTCTGTGTGTGAAAGTGTTTGTGTGTAAAGGAGTTTCTGTGTGTGAGAGTCTCTATGTGTAAACGTCTCTGTAAGGCGTCTGTGTGCAAAAGCCTCTGTGTCTGAAAGCGTCTGTGTGTAAAAGCGTCTGTGTGTCAAAGTGACGGTGTGTAAAAGCGTCTGTGTGTAAAAGCCTCTGTGTGTAAAAGCGTCTGTGTGTAAAAGCGTGTGTGTTTCAAAGTGTTTGTGTGTAAAAGCCTCTGTGTAACAGCTTCTGTGTGTAAAAGCGCCTGTGTGTAAAGGAGTCTCTGTGTAAAGGCTTCTGTGTGTAAAAGCCTCTGTGTGTGAAAGTGTTTGTGTGTAAAGCGTGTGTGTGTAAGAGCGTCTCTGTGTAAAAGCGTCTGTGTGTAAAAGGGTCTGTGTGTAAAAGCGTCTGTGTGTAAAAGGGTCTGTGTGTAAAAGCGTCTGTGTGTAAAAGCGTCTGTGTGTAAAATCGTCTGTGCGTAAAAGCCTCTGTGTGTAAAAGCGTCTGTGTGTAAAAGCGCCTGTGTAAAAGCTTCTGTGTGTAAAAGCCTCTGTGTGTAAAAGCTTCGGTGTGTAAAAGCCTCTGTGTGTGAAAGTGTCTGTGTAAAAGTGTCTGTGTGTAAAAGTGTCTGTGTAAAAGTGTCTGTGTGCAAAAGTGTCTGTGTGCAAAAGCGTCTGTGTGTAAAAGCGTCTGTGTGTAAAAGCCTCTGTGTAATAGACTCTGTGTGTGAAAGTGTGTGTGTGTGTGTCAAAGCGTCTGTGTGTAAAAGTGTCTGTGTGTAAAAGCGTCTGTGTTTCAAAGTGTTTGTGTGTAAAAGCCTCTGTGTAACAGCTTCTGTGTGTAAAAGCGCCTGTGTGTAAAGGAGTCTCTGTGTAAAGGCTTCTGTGTGTAAAAGCCTCTGTGTGTGAAAGTGTTTGTGTGTAAAGTGTCTGTGTGTAAGAGCGTCTCTGTGTAAAAGCGTCTGTGTGTAAAAGGGTCTGTGTGTAAAAGCGTCTGTGTGTAAAAGCGTCTGTGTATAAAAGCGTCTGTGTGTAAAAGCTTCTGTGTGTAAAAGCGTCTGTGTTTAAAGGAGTCTGTGTCTGTGTGTAAAAGCTTCTGTGTGTAAAAACGTCTGTGTGTAAAAGCGTTTGTGTGTAAAAGCGTCTGTGCGTAAAAGTCTCTGTGTAAAAGCTTCTGTGTGTAAATAAAAGTTTCTGTGTGTAAAAGCGTCTTTGTGTAAAAGCGTTTGTGTGTAAAAGCGTCTGTGTGTAAAAGTCTCTGTGTAAGCGTCTGTGTGTAAACGCATCTGTGTGAAAGTGTGTGTGTGTGTGTACAAGAAACGCGTGTGTGTGTGTGTAAAAGCGTCTGTGTGTAAAAGTCTCTGTGTAAGCGTCTGTGTGTAAAAGCCTCTGTGTGTGAAAGTCTGTGTGTGTGTAAAAGAAAAGCGTGTGTGTGTGTAAAAGCTTCTGTGGGGAAAAGTGTCTGTGTGTAAAAGTGTCTGTGTGTAAAAGCGTCTGTGTGCAAAAGCTTCTGTGTGTAAAAGCGTCTGTGTGTAAAAGCGTCTGTGTGTAAAAGCCTCTGTGTAATAGCCTCTGTGTGTGAAAGTGTGTGTGTGTAAGAGCATCTGCGTGTAAAAGCGTTTGTGTGTAAAAGCCTCTGTGTATGACACAGGTTATTTCATTTTATTATGGAAAATCCCACATAAACGGCCCAAAAAAGCTCGGTACCATGATGCCATGCATGACACATGTTATTTCATTTTATTATGGAAAAATCCCAAATAAATGGCCCAAAAAGATCGGTACCATGATGCTGTAAATCACACATGTGACAAGACTTCACTAGTGAAATGCCTGCAAACGTTTGCACAAAAAAAGGTCCAATACCATAATGCAGTAAATGACACGCGTTATCTCATTTTATTCTGGGAATATCCCACAGAAACTATCAAAAAAGCTCGGTACCATGATGCCGTGTATGACATATGTCATTTCATTTTAGTATGCAAAATCCTACATAAATGGCCCAAAAAAGCTCCGTACCATGATGCTGTGTAGGACACATGTTATTCCCCACCTGCCAGGTGAGGGTTGTTAGATTTTATGTCAGTTGCCTCCTCCTCCTCCTCCTCCTTCTCCTCCTCCTCCTCCGCCTCCTCTCCTCCTCCTCCTCGTCCTCCTCGTCGTCCTCGTCGTCCTCGTCGTCCTCGTCGTCCTTGCTCAACTGCGACCCGCGATCCACAGTGTTCTCTGCCGGACCTCAACCACGACCATCCACGCCCAGTGTTCCCTGCCGGACCTCAACCACGACCATCCCCGCCCAGTGTTCCCTGCCGGACCTCAACCACGACCATCCACGCCCAGTGTTCCCTGCCGGACCTCAACCGCGAGTATCCACGCCAAGTGTTCCCTGCCGGACCTCATGTAGGAAGATATGGGACAAAGAATGTGCAGAAGAAAGTTAGAAAGAATGTCAGAAAGAATGTCAGAAAGAGAAGATATGCCAGAAGATGCCAATAGAATGCCAGATAGAATGCCAGAAGATATGTCAGAATATATGCCAGAAGATATGCCAGATAGAATGCCAAAATATGCCAGAAGATATGCCAGATAGAATGCCAGAAGATAGATATGCCAGAAAATATGCCAGAAGAATGCCAGATAGATATGCCAGAAGATATGCCAGAAGATATGCCAGAAGATAGAGAATATATGCCAGAAGATATGTCAGATAGAATGCCAGAAGATATGTCAGATATATGCCAGAAGATATGCCAGAAGATATGTCAGATAGAGTGCCAGAAGATATGTCAGATAGAATGCCAGAAGATATGCCAGATAGAATGCCAGAAGATATGCCAGAAGATATGCCAGATAGAATGCCAGAAGATATGCCAGATTGAATGTCAAATAGAATGTCAGAAGATATGTCAGATAGAATGCCAGAAGATTTGCCAGTAAGAAAATGTATAAATGTCATGGTGGGGATCACACGAAGTAATTTCATTTTTTGAATGGAAAATCCCACATAAATGGCCCAAAAAAGATCGGTACCATGATGCTGTAAATGACACATGTGACAATACTTCACTAGTGAAATGTCTGCAAACGTTTGCAACAGAGCTCGATGCCATCATGTGCTTGATGTCAAAAACACAACAGTTTGAGTTCAGGACCATAAAATGTCATATAGAGACACTCTTCAAAAGCTTCTGTGTGTAAAAGCCTCTGTGTATGAAAGTGTGTGTGTGTCTGTGTAAAAGCATCTGCGTGTAAAAGCGTCTGTGTGTAAAAGCGTCTGTGTGTAAAGGCGTCTGTGTGTAAAAGCGTCTGTGTGTAAAGGAGCCTGTGTGTAAAGCTTCTGTGTGTAAAAGCCTCTGTGTGTGAAAGTGTTTGTGTGTAAAAGCCTCTGTGTGTGAAAGTGTGTGTGTGTGTGTGTAGAAGCATCTGCGTGTAAAAGCGCCTGTGTGTAAAAGCGTCTGCGTGTAAAAGTGTCTGTGTGTAAAAGCGTCTGTGTGTAAAAGCTTCTGTGTGTAAAAGCGTCTGTGTGTAAAAGCCTCTGTGTAAAAGCCTCTGTGTGTGAAAGTGTTTGTGTGTAAAAGCTTCTGTGTGTAACAGCTTCTGTGTGTGAAAGTGTGTGTGTGTGTAAAAGAAAAGCGTGTGTGTGCAAAAGCTTCTGTGGGTAGAAGTGTCTGTGTAAAAGGGTCTGTGTGTAAAAGCGTCTGTGTGTAAAAACCGTCTGTGTGTAAAAGCTCCTGTGTGTAAAAGCGTCTGTGTGTAAAAGTGTTTGTGTGTGAAAGTGTGTGTGTGTGTGTCTAAAAACATCTGCGTGTAAAAGCGTCTGTGTGTAAAAGCCTATGTGCGTAAAAGTGCCTAGTGTCTGTGCGTAAAGGCGTCTGTGTGTAAAAGCCTATGTGCGTAAAAGTTTCTAGTGTCTGCGTGTAAACCTTCTGTGTGTAAAAGCTTCTGTGTGTAAAAGCGTCTGTGTGTAAACGCTTCTGTGTGTAAAAGCGTATGTGTGTAAATGCGTCTGTGTGTAACAGCTTCTGTGCAAAAGCGTCTGTGTGTAAGAGGTTCTGTGTGTGAAAAACAATACGAAGGATAGGATGCAAACTAGTGTTTTGTACTTGTAATATATTGTCTTGATACTACTTGTCTCGCCTGCCTAAAATACATCTTTACTATATTGTCTTGCAATATAGTGTCTCAATACTAACAACAGAAGACCCTGCTCTCTCTCTCTCTCTCCCCCTTTCTCTCTATCTATGTCTCTCTGTGGTTGCAAGACACGTGTCATATGATGCCCTTTACCAAGCAGCACAGTGCATATGCATGGGTTGTCACATGTATCCTCTTCTTAATCAATCTTACTTTTCACAACTTACACCTCCATAGCTCATATAAAATTCACCAACCATTCACCGACTATTTTTTACGACTACCATACTCAGAGCTGCTTGAAAAACGTCTTTTTCGCTCTCGGGCCAACCGTCGTCTAGTTTTTGTATGTTTCCGTAGAGGACCGGGCAAGTTCTGACTAGTTCTCAGTCCTGTCTTGGTCCTATCCTAGCCCTCTCTAGATTCTCGAGGTCCTATGTCACAGAACTTTCCCATTCCCAGCATTGACACAATTCCCAGTGTTGCCAGCCTCAATTTGGGAGGCGCAAGGAAGCAAAATCAAAACTGCTGTGAGCCAACCAGCCAGTCTCTGTTGGATTGAATATGACTGAAGTCAAAAAGGATGCCTTGTGTTTCAGTAGTCACACTGTCACACCAGGACACCCTTTGGGTTTGCCACTGCAAAGCTGTGAATTCCCCCAAATCGCTAAGCCAGAAGAGTCCGTAGTCCTTCTCCAGTGCTGATGTACTGTACTTGCTTTCCAAAATGAAATGATGGGACGCACAACCAGATACAACCAGGCAGAAAACAGTTTTATTGATCCTTCATGCACTACGACAGAAGTCCTGAAATCAATACTTCTCAATGCCAAGTTCTTTTCGTCGCTTGTGCGCGACTGGTTTCTTCTCCAAAGCTAGAAACAGAAACTGCTTCCCAACACTCAGCATTCCGCTCTAGGTGAGCCAATTGCGTCGCTGGTTGGAAGCAACAACATCAGCGCTTTGAACTGTCTTGCAGTGTTGCCACTCAATTTTGGAAGTGGCCCTTGGCTTCTTGTAAGTCTAAGGTGAAGTCGCCAAAACCAAGCAATCCGGAGCCTAAGCTGCACCTTAGAGCTCACTCTTTGCCTTTTTCATGTGAGCAGAGACCTTCTTCATGAAAGGCACCTTGCAATCTGAATGCCATGAATCACCGGGTGAGGGCCGCGACTTTCAAAGAAAATCAATGTTTCTTTATGTTTCTTTGCACCTCCTCTTCCACAATTCGAATTGCATTCCGAATCTTGCCCTCGAGCCGATCTGGAGACATCACCTTGGACCGCTGTCCGGTCGTCAAATCAAAAATCCATGAACATCCAACCCCACTGCTCTCTGATCTGTCTGATCTGGTGATAAATCCATTGAATCCACGAGATTCAATAAATTCAAGGACCACCATGGCACACCGACACCGCAACATGCCACAAAAATACTTAAGACATCTTAAGACTTCAGACATGAACAGTCTGGACAGTCTGGAGTGGACAGTCTGGACAGTCTGGACGTCTGGACAGTCTGGACAGTCTGGACAATCTGGACAGTGGCTTTGGTCTGTTTGCATAGTTGGTTGAGTCTCTGAAGTATCATTGAAGAAGTATCACAGATATCCAAGGCACCATGTAACCTTCGATCTTTTTCTTCACCTCGTCACTGCAAAGATCCAAATTCGCTGGGCCGCAAGTCCTGAACTTCCCGACCCAAACACGGGCAAACAAAGTGTAAACAAAGTGCAAGCAATGTAAACGTCAACGAACAATGCAAACTGGAAACCACAGCCTACAGGCCTATACATTCAATGGCTCCCCCTGGGCGCAAGTGCTCTTCCCACACGTTTCTGACCTTCTCGATCCTTCTCGTTGAGTCCAAGAAACGGTCCCAGGTTCTCTTCTGCAAACTTCTTCAAGGAATTGAAGTCTCGACCACCTTGATAGTCCTGCAAGAAACTCACAACCTTCAGCCTTTCAGCAGGTTCCTAGCTATGAACGACACCAAACCGGAGAACCACTCAAGGTCGACTGGAGTTTGGAGAGCCAAGGCATACCAAGCGAAGAGTTTCAGGAAGGGGAATGGTGTATATTATTGTATATTTAAAAAAATGTTCGCTGTGGTTCAAGGCAAGGTTAACTATAACCAAACCTTCACTATGTTTCAAAGTTTCACCGTGTCTCAGTCGCTGTAGTCACTTCACCAACTCTACCCTGGCCACATCTGGCCACACTGGTTTCCTGCAAGTCGCCAGGATCGCCATACCTAAAACAAACCAAGATACAATGAGGCAGGAGCACAAACATGAACATCATGAAGATCCAAACTATCCAAACATATCCAAACCCTTGAATTCCATACCTGAACTCTGCCAAGGAACTTGAGTGTGGGGTATCCCCCGACCTCCCAAGTAATTTGGCATCACTGATCACTATCATCACTGAATCACTGACTGAAAGTTGAATTTCCAACGGATTCCAAACTCACGCACACTGTCACAGGTCACATCATGGTTACATAGTTACATCATGTTACATCACATAATGCTGACATCTTCATCATCTTCTGTCGCATGATCTGATGGGCAAAGTATGGCAAATTGCGGGGCCAGGTGGTGCTACTGGTGCTACTTGAAATTCAGCTTTGCGATCTTTGCGCCGAGCAACTCCATGCTTTTGGCACAAGGACTGGCCCTCCCCGGTGCAATCCACATCTGCAACGAGAGATCCAGGACCGCCGTTGATTTCATCCATCAGTTTGTCCCAATCAGGTTTCAGTTTCTTGCAGTGGCCTGTCAAGCAAAAAACGATGCACGCGATACACAGGATGCACGTGATGCACTTGCCGATGAGCTTGGCATGAGCTCAACATGAGTTTTACTGCTTCACAGATTTTCACAGCCGTCACAGCGTTGACTGAAGTGAAGTCGCTCTTCCCAGCTGCAGACCGCACCGCACCACGGGGCATAGAATTTGATGAAGACACTCTTCCCTGCCGTTTCTGCCTCGCAGAATCTTACAACTTTCCAGCAACTCTCAAACTCAATATCCGCCGACCCCGGCCTTCGCCAAGGCCGGGGCGGCGCCTGGGACCACCGCAGGTGTGGAACTTGTCCTGTCGGACCACTCTCCAAAACCCTCCAAACCCTCCAAACCCTCCAAAACCCTCCAAACCCTCCAAACCCTCCAAAACCTTCCAAACCCTCCAAACACCTTGTCCAGCAGGCACCCCAGGGCCAAGGCCACTTCCCCAACAGGCACCCCAGGGCCAAGGCCACAGCAATGGCTTTCTATGGGCTTTCAAAGCTGCCGTTTGCCCGCCTGCAAACGCTCCAAACTGCCAAAACCTTCCAAATCCTCCAAACCCTCCAAAACCTTCCAAACCCTCCAAACACCGTCCCCAGCAGGCACCCCAGGGCCAAGGCCACTTCCCGAACAGGCACCCCAGGGCCAAGGCCACAGCAATGGCTTTCTATGGGCGTTCAAAGCTGCCGTTTGCCAGCGCGCAAACACTCCAAACGCTCCAAAACTTCCAAACCCTCCAAAACCCTCCAAACCCTCCAAACACCCTCCAAACTTCCCAACACCTTCCAACCCTACCCTAACCCCAACCCCCTCCAAACCATCCAAACCTCCAAAACCCTCCGAAACAAAGGCCAGCGCCCGCCCACACTCCAACGCTCCAAACACTCCAAACGCTCCAAAACTTCCAAACCCTCCAAAACCCTCCAAACCCTCCAAACACCCTCCAAAACTCTCCAAACCCT